TCCTGCTACCCATATATTCTTATTCTTWATATATGTTATATAATTCCATAACATGTTATAACTAATCAATCATCAGCACATTTAAATTTATGAGCACAAAGGACCCACAAAGTAGCAGAAAGAAACCAGTTTTTCAGTTGTCATTCCTTGTAGAATGAATGCATGCATCAAAACAAAATATGTATACTATAAAATTTGCTATGATACCAAAAATATATTGCATACACAGAAATTTACTTAGAAACATAAGTAAAAGGATTGTTTCTTGGCAACAAATTTATTTCATTCTTGTCACTCATTTAGAAATGAGTGACAAAATGTTAGTCTTTCCTCCAAACATTAGACTATTAGTGTGCAAGGAAATCAAGATTGTTCTAATTCTGAAAAGAAAAAAAGAAAAGAAAAAAAAAAGTGTGCAAGGAAATCAAGATTGTTCTAATTCTGAAAAGAAAAAAAAAATATTCTGATTATTTTAAAGCAGAACATGGTTCTATTTTATGTAATCAGGACTAGTCCTCTGAGTCTTGCAAAGCCTATAGCCTTGGAAGTCCCAGTATTTCAGGCTTCGAAGTCAGCACTGTACTTATAATAAGTACATTTAAGTGGGCGATTCATGGTCAAAAGTTGGAAATTATTCTCCATAATTTTATCCTGAAATCTTGCCTGTGATGACAAAGATGACATAAGGAAGATCCTAAGAGGGTTTGKTTATTTACTTATGAATTAATTTGCAATTAGATTTCTCCGCAGTGTTTTATTCAGCGTTTATCATTGCTCTCAAAGCCTTTCCTTGGACTTTGYGCAACCTCTAGCCTGTTTCTGTTGGACTTTGAACTGGGTCCAACGCTTGCATTTCCCCCAGAGCCATGATCCTAAACCTGTAGCCAAGCGAGTCTGTTGCGTGCGGACGGATGAAGCCCTGGTGGCCTGCCAGGCTCGCTACCGTCTGTTTCTATCCATTCTGACCAAGGCATGCTGCATAGGGCTTTGCTTATTCTACTTGACTTTTTACCAGAAAAATAACATTCATATGTTCCACAGGACTCAGTCCTAGAGAAGCACGTGGGCGTTCAGAATTCATCATTGATTTTGCTCTCCACTTCATATCTCAAAACCGTAGCTCCACCTGAATCATACCTTAGAAATGTGGCTAGTTGGGATGATGGTGATCAAATATTCCAGGCATTTTTCATTTAAAATAGTAACTAAACAAAGGAGGGCACTAAAAAACTTTCTTACAAGTAGGTCTTCAGAGCAATTTTGATWTATTTCTAGCATGAATCTTTGGTGCTGGCAATGCTTGTTAATGTCTATTTTGTAAAATGGTATAATAGGAAACAGCCTATGGGCATAACTGAAATTTCATGAGATTTTGTTCCTATTTAATACATAGAAGAGGTGCCCTCTTGGATTTGTCTGTTTGTAAGAACTCACTGAAGAAAAACCAATACTTAAAGTATCATCTCTGCTGATATCTTATTYGCTTCTATAGTCTGCAAAAGATTTAAATACGTGCAACTAGGGCAACATTCAACAACAACAAAATGCATTGCAGATAAGAATCAGTAAGAATCTGGGCTGCCTAGTAYCTCCTTTCATGGCCAAAAGGTGCAAGACTTCTGTTCTAACTGCATATGCTTCCTTCTGAATTTCTCAGCAGTTACAAAAAAAGTTGCTAAAAATATTTTACATTTCAGAAATTCCAGTTCTGTATGAGTCAATTGCTTTGTGCTTATTTTCAGCCAAAGACCAATTCTCTCCCCTTGTAGAGTTTATGAAACTGGCCATGTAAAAATATTTTTTTCAGGTACTGCAGACAGATGCATTTTTAATTTTTTAAAACTTTTCTCTTAAGAATTTATGACATTTATCTTTAGTATAACTGGGTTTTTTTTTGTTTGTCTATTTCATGGAAGGGTTTTTAACACATAATTATTTACAAAAACAATTTGGGGGAGTTGCCTTTGCAATCCTATTGTGGAAGAAGAAATCTATACCTGAAATTTCTTAAAAGAAGGGTAACTACGTCAAAATATTATCAATATTCAGTTTGTTGTAATCTGCAACATTTCTTTCTTTGGCTTCCCAATTAGAATTCATCTTAAATAATATTTGTTTCCACCTTTATTATTTCTCGCATTCTTGGGGATTAGAATTTTTTTTTCCCTTTTTTTGGCTTCCCAATTAGAATTCATCTTAAATAATATTTGTTTCCACCTTTATTATTTCTCGCATTCTTGGGGATTAGAATTTTTTTTCCTTTTTATGTTCTATGTGTTTTATTGCATTATTTCTAGTTTTGAATGAAAAGTGAAAGTCTCATTCTAGATCAGTTTGGGAAGTTAATGGTTAACTTTATGTACTTAAGTCCCATTAAACTCATCCATCTACTTAAGTAATGTCATAAAGAAGCCCATTTCCTGAATCAGAGTCCTGTTCGCTGTTTGTGGTCAACTGTATTTGCTGGGGCAAAATGCCAGTTGTATGGACAACTTGAGAGCTTTGCTAATGATATTTTTTTCCTTTTGTTTAACTAGAGATTGTATTGGAATGACTTATTTTAGACAGAACTGAGGAGGAGGAACTTGATTTTCTACAGAATCATAGAGTATACTCTTTTTTTTTTCTCTTGGCTGGCTAATGTGATTTATCTTCCTTTACTCTGAAAAATGCAGGGATGTTTTTGGAGTATTTTACATGATTGTTGTAAGCTTCAAGATGAGGATGGGACTGGATGCCTTGCCTTTTTCCCTCTTCTCCCTACTCTGTGCCTAACGCCTACATCAGTCCTGATTTTGTCGGTTTCATTTGTTTACTTTTGGTTCAGATTTTTTGAACAAGTTCATATGTTATGATTTTTATTCAAGCATGTTGTCAAGGCAAAGACATTTTATTGTCCTTCATTTTATGCGGCTGCTTATTCTGCAGTGTTTCAAGTACAGCTCTTGAGCATGTGTAATGGCTGATAAACATATGTGTTAACCTTTTTCCAGAATCCTAAAATACTTATGACTAAGATACTGATACATAACTGATTCGGTTCACGAAATCACGTATATCAGAGGGTAAACTGGGTACCTAGGGATTGAATTACAAGTAGTTACAGCAGTGTTAAAGCTCAGTGCATTTCCACTCCTTTTCTTTTTTTAAAATTCTTTATGGATTTGAAATAACTTAGAATTTTAGGTTTTAAAAGTTCAAAGTTAGAAATTAAAAGTTGGGTCAAAGTCACTTGGGTAAAAAGTCAGTTTAAAAGTTAGGTTTCCAGTTGTGTTTATAAAGCTCCTCTGGATTTTCTGACCTGAAACTGAACAAAATAACCTGAAATCATAAGTGAGTCACATTTTTCTCTCCTCTGACTTTATGCTTTACAGCCTGACCCAAATTTTAGGGGTGTAATTTTATCTGAGTCAATGCATGCTGATAGAGTTTTATAAACCGTTATTTCAGTGCTGGCAGCAAAATCCATTTTGTACAAACAACAGCTCTGCAGAGCCTGTTACATTCTTAAGGAAGTTGTTTCACATATGGATATTTTGAAAGATTAGGCATTTGTGTTTTACGAATTCTTAGAGCTCTATCTTAGCAGAATTGCTTTTCTTGTCAAAATGTCTACATAGCTGTAGGCAGAGGCCTGCTGAAAATCATTAACTTGTTTCTTTCAGAGTGAAATTAGCAGTAGCTTCTTCAACAGTCCTGTCTTCCTCCCATGCACCGTCTGTGATGGTCAGTGCAGTCCTCAGAGGTTGCTAATCAGGAAGGCAAACCTTGCTGAGGAGATGGCAATGGCAGCTTTACTTAGAAGAAGATGTTACTATTTCTATGGAGTTTTCAACAGTGTTTTGTTTCACCAGATCTTGCAGACAGAAATTGTATTCTCTATTTCATCTGTGGCTTCTGTTCTGTTTTGCATGAAAATGAGCCATCAGTACCAGCTTCCAATTGAAGATTAGGTTATAGGTAAAAATGAACATTCAGAAGTAGAAGTGTGGATATTTTATGTTTTTGTTTATCAGCACCAATGTATCTCCTATTATAAAGCTGTATTTGGTGTAACATAATGACCAAGATACTGATTTATTAAATGCAAATCSTTTGAGAGAAGCAACCAACATTGAAACATTCCTTTTGTACGGAAATGCGTAGGTATGTATGAATGTGGGAGTTGTAATTCTGTTGTATTTTATAGTTGATAATGTATTTGTGTAAGAGCAATTCTTCAAGATAGCCATCATTTTGGAGTTTCTAGATAGCAGGAAGAATATAATGGTAACATTTCTGCACTTTCCTCTGTATTCCCTTTGTTTGAGGCCATCAAAAAGGTCAGTGACTGATTCATGGTCTCTTTCAGGGCTCCAGAGTCATCTTTTCTTCTAGTTGACCTGGACCTATAAGTGACTATCATTTATATCATATATTTTGCCATCCACCTTTTAGATTGATTTTAAAAAAGAAAAATCTTGCATGGTTACTGGGCTCCAGTCACTTCTTCACTTCTGCATTCACTTTTTATTTCATTGGCACTTGCTGCTGCTTTTTCTTCATCTTCACATCCTCCCTTCCTTCTTTGTCCTTGGGAATTTCTCCATTAAGTTGAACTTTCCTGTTCACCATGAAGAATCTAGTTCAATGGTTGAACAATCCTCCAGCACCAAGAGATCTTTTAACCTTCTTCCACCTCCCTTTGAAACCACTTTTACACTTAATTTCCCCCAGAATAATTTCAACAATTGTTTTCATATCATCATATCTTCCTTGGTCATAATGACCAGTTGGAAAAAGCACATTTACATCACAAAGTTATGTTACCTTGAATAGCAGGGCAAGGCAGTAATAGCACCTCTGAAGCCAGAATATACTTATGTTAATTATTGGCTTAGAGGTCCCTGTATCTTTTAATTAGTTGTCCTATTAATACCCTAGAGTGCTTTAGTTTTTAAATGAAAGATAATAGCTACCTTATCTCTAAGGAAACTGGTCTTGATTTTATTAACTTACAGGACAGAAGAATAATTGGCACATATCATTGTCCAGAAATGTATTCAACAAAGGTATCTTTCACTGTTTTCTAATATTTTTTTTTATCCTCAGAGACTTAAAGTTGAGGTCCTGACCACTCGTGGTCATTAAAGATCCCATGGCACTTTTTTTTATAGAATGGACATCTCAGCCCCAAGCATCTGGCCAAATACTGATTTATGTAACTGTTCTGCTTACCTAACATTCCCACCACCACTCACCCACCCCATAGTTTCAATTGGCTATGGCATTCTTCATTTCCTCTACTAAAATGTAGTATACTGTTCTGCACTGTCAGTCACCACATTTCACCTCAGAGGTGATTGCACTTCTGGCAAGTGAAGTGGTTCTTCTTTCTGAAGCTTGTAAAGCGCTTTGGGATCCTTTTGAATGGGCGGTGCTGTGTACAGTAAATGTAATTCATTGCCACTCTATCTAAGCTTCACTTAGTTAGAAAAGCATGTTTTATTTAGTGTTGGGCGAACCTGCTTGATGAGAATAACATTCCCAGCTGTGGCTGCTCTGCCAGTTCTGCCAATGAATCTTTTGTCAGAGGTTATAAAGTCAAGTTAAGTTTGTTTTTCATTGGCTTCTCTTGTTCTTCTGGATTGGAACTTGGAGATTTTTTCAGATTGGGGATTTAGGGGAAAAAAAATGGAAAAGACAGTTCCTGTAATGGTTGATCCACTCTTCTGGTGCAGGCAAGTCAGATTACTGCTGGAGAACCCCCTGAATTGTATGGTGCTTTCCTGGCCAAACACTTGAAGGTTCGCCCATCACTAATTTTTGCTATATTTTGAATTACTTAAAAAAAAAAAAAAAAAAAAAAAAAACTTGGGATATTGAAAAATGCTGTGCTGCAATCTGATGTTGTATCGGTGTGGTATGTGCAGAAGGCTGACTCTTTCCCGTAGCAGATAGGTTAGAGCGTTATTGCTCAGTGCTCTTTCTGGCCAGCTAATCTTGCTAACTGCTAATCTTGCTAGCCCATCTAATCTTGCTAACTGCTGCCAGGTCTGCCAAATATCTGCAGATGTCTGCAGCAACTTGCTGCCTTAGCAAATCTACCAATTACAGGTTCCTCCTCAAGCAATTTTAAAATAAGCAAAAGTAACAAAAGAATCAAAGCAAAACATTAACCAAAGGGGAAATGTCAGTGGAGTTATGTCCAACTAATAGCTCCTTTCGTATTCGGTGTTTCAGTGAAAGCATATGAGTTTTTAAGGAGCACTCAAATTTTTGTTATCATTGCAGATCAGAACGATAAAAGGTTTAGAGTAGTTTCCTTCTAAGACTTAAGATGTGAATAAGTTTGTGAACACCATCTTAGAACRCACACCTCTGACATGAAAATAACTCAAGCACTAAACTTTGGAGTAAAATCATTGCATTAGTGGAAGTTATGTCAAATTTACCCAATATCATTACAACTAACATACCTCTTTTCTTGCTAAGGCTTGACATGATGAAAAATGTAGTTTCTAAATGACTTTGCACCCCCCTTGTAAGATATTTATCCTACTTGTTTGTACACATTCTTGGGGTCAATGTATGCCAAATGCCTATAATTGCTCTTATTTTCAGGATACTAAAAGTCTCTTTTTTTTTTTGTCTAGGATGTTAGGACAAGAATGACAAACAATTTTGYCTTACATCAGACGTCTCTAATAATTTTCTGAACCATTACACTCATTATAAGAAAATAATTGCAAACCCTCTGGAGAAGTTTCATAGGTCTATTTGAAGGCTTTCATATTTCTTGCAATAGCACAGAACAYTTTTGCTTTAATTCTGCATAATGCAGATGAGAATTGATTTGATGGGCTTCCTGGCTACAACATAGTATTTCTCTTCCATACTTAATTTAATGCTATGGTGTTCTGAAAGAATTTTTTTCTTGAGTTTCAGCTCAACTTTTCCATTTTTCCTCTGCTTCTCAGAAAAGATTCATTACCTTAACATGCTAGGAAATTCAAAGTTTTCATATGCTTTTGATTGAAAACAAGCAAAAATAGGTGATTTTGGCTGTTTCACATTGTCAGTACATTTAGTCCAAAACTGAAATCCATTGAACTTAGAGGGGTGCAAATTCAAGTTGAAAAAATAAATAAAATTTAAAAAAAAAAAAGAAATCTGACATTGCAAAGATACCAGTTTCTACACGTCACCTGAACAGATGTAATCACTCAAATGGCAGTGGTTCAGTTGGTCCAAAGCACTTTTGTGAAGTTTCTATCTTCTCATTTCGTAATGCTGTGTAGTGGTTAATACTGAATAGCAGCCTTTTCCTACCCAGCAGCCTGATCAAGGCGTGTGAAATATTACATGTGGTTTTCTTGCTTCTGGAAAATATTATATATTGGGTAGCACAGCGAGGTACCTGCTAGWGACTGCTGTGTTTTACATGAACAGATTAATGCAATGTTGTGTAAAAATCCTCAAAAGTTACCATTTAAGTCCTTTTAATAACAATCACAGTATATCTAAATAGTAAATGGATAATGTGGTTGAGTTATCTTCAAAGACACTTTGAGACAATTTCTTCTCTTACTTGGACTAGAGTATATCTTCAGTATTACCACTCAGTTTCATGTACTTAATTAGCTTCCATTAACCCTAATTGCTTTTTAAAGTATATTTATTTAACTGCATAATTCCAAGTAYAGACTTAGAGGGAAGACTGAGGAAAGTGAGTGTCTCCCTGGTGACCTTCAGTTTGTTTTCTCTACATGGAATATTTTGAAGTTCTTCTGCCATACTTCAGTTCTACTCCAGATTACCTAAGGGAAGAGGTTACAACTTAAGCTTTGAAATCCTCTTCATCATCTARGCATTAATATTTTTCACTGAATTAATTTAAAAAAAAAAGCCATTCATTGAAACCACTGTTCAGTGCAGTTTGATGTGATTACACTCTGAATTACGTGTATATGTTTTTCTTTCTAAATTGCAGACCTTTCCTATCCCAGTGTTCAGGTCTCCACAATATGCCTTCTATTTATGAAATTCACTAGAGATGGAGCTTTCCTGGTTAGATTAGGGAAGAAGCAAAGCCTAAGTAGTCCAGCTCCTTTTTTTTCCATCTGACCTCCCTCCAGAAAAGACAGAGGGTGAAACATTAGTCCCAAGTATTGCACCCCGTGGTAGAATCACCTGTTCAGGCAATTGGGCCACGCACCATTACCAGGTACTGCTTCTGCTCACTGAACGTGGGGCCCAGGGAAATACCTTTTACTCTGCCCTTCCTTGAGTTTACTATGACAAAAAATATATAGTTATGGCTGTGCTTAAAATCTTATAGACCGATGTGCAATGAATTAGTGATGTTAGAGCCAACGCTTGTCAGTGTGGCTTTGGTGTGTAACTGCTTGGACATCCCTTCTCTCCTTGCTAAGTCTACCTCCATGTTTCTTACAGATGGATCCACATGAAAACATTTTGTTGAGCACACTTGAAATTAAAAATGAGATGGCTGCCTCCGAGGCTGTGATGGGGCTTGGGGACCCTAGGAGCACTATGTTGGCCTACGATACRTCAAGCATCCAGTACCGGAAAGCTGGCTTGCCCAGACACAGCTTTGGTCGCAATGCCCTGGAGCGACACGTGGCACAAAAGAAAAGTAGGCTACGGAGACGTGCATCTCAGCTGAAAATCACCATTCCTGACTTGACTGATGTAAATGCCATAGATCGATGGTCGCGCATATTCTTCCCTGTTGTTTTTTCCTTCTTCAATATTGTCTATTGGCTTTACTATGTGAACTAAGAAACAAAGTCACACAGGAAGCAAGAACTGGATTTCTCTTCAAATCGGTTGTACAGCCAAAAGTGGGACTTAGAAAAATTCTATTCAGGACAAAATGTTATTTTAAAACACCTTAGTTGCTGGCCCACTCTATGGTCTGTTTTATAATTTTGGTTGTTTCTGCTAAACCGCAAACACGTTCTTAAATTGCAGCGTGGACATATCCCCCTTTCCAAAATATAAGTGCATTTCAAGTGTGGAGGCGAATTGGATTCTGACAATCATTTCTCTCCTGCTGTCTCTCGCTCCACTTTACTACTCCTGTGAGCTTAATGACATAAATTAGAGAGACATTTGAGAACCAGGTTTTAGTTTCAACAGCAGTSTGTTATTTCCTCATGAAACTGCATATCCAATACATGTGCATCTACACTTAAGAGAGTGTGCAAAGATGTTGTCATGCTTTCAAAACATATATACATTTTAACTTTTGAATATGTAAACTTGAAAACAAGTAGTGCCTGTCATCTTTCCAAGATGATGATGATGATCAGAAGTTTCCCAGCTGTATTCAGGTATTTCCTGTTTTTTTTTTTTTTTTAAAGAATTTAAGTTTTGACTTATAATGTGAGTGTTGGGGGTTTGCACAGAAGCTGAAGTAAAAAGCAGTAGTTGTGTTTGGATTTTTAAGSAAGAACATATGCAGACAATCAAAATGATTATGATTCTGACCAGTAGATACAAAGGTGGATCAGATGGTCTTGTTGTGAATGGGTAGATAATGCTGCTGTTTCACGTCAGGGAAAGGGAATCATTTGTCCAAAGTGCCAAATGTTGGTTGTCCAAAAAGTGAATTTCTAGGTGGCTAAAGAAAGCCAATGGTGCCCTGCCTGTCTAGAGAAAGAAAAGTTAGACAGCAGTTCAAAAATATAGAGCTGGAGAAAGTGAAGGCTACATACATATGTATGTATATATATGTTGTCAGTCACAGTATGTATTTCAATTTAAAATTCTCACGTGGAGTTCTGTGATTTCTTTCAAGTCTGCAATCCTTCTAGTGCTCTGCTTGCCACTGTAGTTATGCTTAACACTTAACATCCAATTTCATTGAAAGATCTCATGGCTTTTCGGAAGAGAGAGATCCAACTGTACATACCCATACCCAGAAATAATGGCAGGATATTTTTCTCAAGTTGGATGAGGCAATTTGATTTTTCTTTTTGTTGTTTTGCTTAGCTTCATGCATTGTTTCAAGAGAAAGACTTGGTAGGCATCACTTTTGATTTCTTACTTACTATTTCCTGCTTTAGAGAGATTTCTGGGGGAAAAAAACAGCAAAATTTCCTTTTGTTTTAGGAAACTTTAAAATGGAACTTTTTTCCATTTCCATTTAAAACCATGAATTTTTAAATTTATAGGCAAATATTTCTGAAGTGTGGGCAAAGTAAATAAAATCTGCCATTTAATCTGTTGTTAAAAATATTTTTATATAATGAAGAAAATCACAAGAACAGTATAAAAAGTATAAATTCCTGTTGACTTGTACAAAACCAGGTGTTTGAGAGAAAATATTTAATAAAGCAAAAGYCACATCCTGTTATATCTCTGCTACCTCTTATCTGTCCTGAAAAAAACCTCCACAAATTGCTGTATCTTTCAAACAGGAAGGGAGAATTTCAAGACAGATAATTTCTCCCAATTTAACAATTCTTTAAGATGCATCTGAAGAATATTTTTCATAAGAATATTATTTTTTGTTGTTGTTCTTTTAAGAATAACTTTCATATAACTTTCTGCTTTCTTCCCCATTTAGAGGAATACCAACATAGGAAGAAAATCATTTGGGAAATTGCCAGGTTTATTCAGTAATTTTTCTGGCTTTGTTTTGATTACAGCATGTGCTTATTTCTGCCTCAAATGGGAAATAATAGTTTTGAGCTTGAGGTGAGATTTGCTGGGCACACACGTCACCTGTTGTGTGCAGGAGAGGAACTTTTCCAAGTCAAAATGTTGCTTTTTAGTTGACATACCTAATTTGTGACTGCATTTCCTGCAGAAAGCATCAAGCTTTGTAGATGCATTTGAAATTTCAGCTGTTAGATTTGAATCTTGTTGGAAATCTTCTCACAATTCTAAGGAGAGTCCACACCAAATTCAGTATTTCTCCTCAAAGTCTGTGTATCCCTTCTTCAAAAACGGTATCCTTCATAATAAATATTGTTATTTAGTCTTACAGATTTTTTCTGTACTTTTTTTTTAACAGATTTCTTCTGACTTTCTTTTGAATTTCAGAGAATAATGCTGTGAATGCTGGTTGCTCATAGCATGTTTGTGGTAGATGCACCTCAAATATAAAATATTAGAACATTTTTTTTCTTTTTGCACATTAGTTTGCTGCATCACCTACTGCAAAATGGCAGAGATTAAATCGTAGAACTGCACGTTAATTTATCTTAAGTTAGAGTATAAGCCATACCACTCTCTGGAGCTGCCCAGAGAGTGAAAGAAAATGTCTAGTTTCTGCTCAGGTGTCACTAGGAAAGGTGTTTTATCTCGGGAAAAGGAGCACTTGCGCTTTTACTATGTCCTTCTGGCTATTAATGTGATGTGTAAAAAAGAGCAGAAGGGGGGAGAGTTCTTTCAGATGCAGAGTGGCTGTCACGTACCAAGGCTAAACACTGTGATCCGAAGAAGAGAGGATAAGAAAGACTGATGAGGCACTGTCAAGGCAAAAGTAGAACCTGAGTGCTCAAGTTGAGCACTTACTGCTTKTCTGAGATGATTGGATGAAAGTGAGAATTACGCCACTGTAGATGATAAGGGTTTTACTATGTGTGCTACCCACCAGGTAGATTAGAGTAAACTTCTTTCTTTGGAACTGACCAAAAACCAGTATTCTATATCCTTTTGCTCCTGTTCATTGTTGCTAGCTTCAATAAGTAAAATATCAGAGTTCATAATTTAGATCAAGCTTGCATTATAGTTGCACATTTTATTGTTCTTTTAGACATGATAGCCAGCAATTAAGGTGTTTTTCATCTTTGTGAAATTCATTGGCGAACTATGACTATAACATGGCACAGTTTTAACGAAGTCTTTGAGATCTATCTGTAAATATATACTGTATATGACTGCTAGTAAGTATGATACACATTTTCAGAACTGAAAATTCATGCAACATTTCTGTGTTTGCATAAGGAATGTTATGTTTCTGTCCTACTGCAGTTTAACGACTGGGAAGAAAGACTCAAGCAATGACATTGTGAACATTTATTTTTCTCATTCCCAGGGGAGGAAAACAGAGTCTCAAATAATAGYATGTCACAGAATTCTTCAGACAGTTTTTACGATATTACAAAGGACATAAAATATGTAAGGAACAAAAGCACAATGCACAGAGAAAACGACTGGTGGTCTTATACCTGGGGAACAAATCTTTCTTACTTCAGACAAAATATGCATTATAACTAAGGCTCAATTAATTTTTGTTATAACTGTTAGACTGTGTTCCAAATCTACAGTTGACACAGTGCTAAACATAAATAAACAGATGTTAAACATTATCCAAGTGTATGTGCATATGGACATACATAAATGTCTATATGGACATATGTGTGTATATATACACCTGTGCCGAGTATATGCACACACATTCATATGTTGGCGTGTTAAAGGAATAAGCTAATAATAGTTTTCTTTCTATCATCAACCAGTGTATGAATATATTTTTGAGAAAACAGATAAATGTATTTAAAAAAAAAAAAACTAAATATACAGGGTAACTGGGCATTTCTATATCAGCAGATCAATGCATATAATTCGTATGGAGCATTGCACCGTTTGACATAACAGTAGTACTGTACCTCCTAGCATCTGAAATTAGACTAGACCTCACATTGCTTGCCTATTTCTTCTCTCTCTTTTTATAACAGCATTGTCCACTGGTAAGTTTTCAAAAACAATGAAGTCCTAAGGGAATCAAGAAAATAAAAGGCAAAACTATTAAGTATTTCTAGAAAAAATCATCTAGGGTGGGATGGCCAGGGTACAATACTATTATCAGTAGTGATCATAACGTTTTGCTATGTGTACATAGAACATACAATGTGAGCAATCATAACTTAAGCTGAGCGTGTGTAAATATTATCAGATTTCTTAAACATTTTTAACTTCTGATTTGTACTTTATGGTAAGGCAAAAAGCTAATTCTCTTTATGGTTTAGGTTAATGTGTCCTAAAATTCTGTAAATAATTAAATAAGCTGTAAATGAGCAGTCAATAGATACAGTATTGTTTAGTGACTTTTTTCTTTTCTTTTTTTTTTTTTTTTTTTTTTTTTACTAAGTACAATAATTGCAGTGCTCTAGCAGAGTAATTTAAACACCCTTTTGCATAAACAGATTTGGATTACAGATATAAAAAGTACCGAAGGTACTCTAGTGTGTAATAGCCATTGCAGCAATGTTACTGCTAGCACAGTGGGTTCTTTTGTATGGTTAAAATGTTCAAGCAAAAGAAGATTGTAGTTTGGCACTCAGTGCTCAGATCAGCATTAACCAATATGGCATGATTTTCTCCTACAAGAAGGACCCTTTATGTTGCTCCATGAAGTGGAGAGATAGAGAATACAGGGTAAGTGAGAACTGAGCTGTGAGTGATTTCATTACAGAAAACCTGCATACTGCATCTGTCTGGTTCTGAAATCTGTATCTCTTCTAGGATCTAATAGTAGACTTATATTTTTCTTTGGGAAAAAAAAAAAAGTTGTATAACTGTCGTTAGATAGTGTAGTCCCCCAAAGCCAAAGAATATTCWCTCCAGAAATTGTTTAAAAAGGAAGTCTAATAGGTCACTGCTTAACACCAAAGGTAAAGTTTAATAAAATGCACTAGGAACTTTGTCTAAATTTTTAAGAGGCAAATGGAATGTTGATCAAAACTACTGCCCTATTCTACTTTGTAAAAATAGTAAGAATTTAAATATTCATATTAAATTGAAATAATCTCTACAAAAATATGCAACATGACCATTTCATAAGTATAAAATTATTTTCTTTGTAAGTGCTTTGACAAAAAAAAGAAACTGAAGTGATGAAAAATCTCACCTATACTTTCGTACTAAGGGTTGTATTTTTTTAATGTTTTTTCCAGACATGAGCTCATCTATTCCAATTTGATAATGTTTTGTATGTTTTCACTGTTACTGCCGTTTGACAGATATTCACCAGGCTATATTGTTCGTGGTCTCTTCTGTTACTTTCCGTTGAAGACAAAATGAGCATTTGAAACATGATTAATTCTAACAAGCTGACTATGATTTGACTTCTGTCACGTTTTTATTTGCATGGGTGTTTAAATGGTTCTGTTAGTACTGTCTTTGCACAGTTCTGATTTATCTTTTTTTACTTAGTACTATTTACTTCATAATGTAGTAATCATCAGCCTTACTAATGACCTTGTAGCCTTTCTTATATGCACATAATGCACATTTTCCAATGGCTAGAAAATGCAAAAT